GGGGGGGGGCGGTCAACCACAAAACCCTTTGTTGACCAGGAACAGCCAGAATGAATTAGATTGTATGGAATCAGATACAAATTAACATCGTAGGTCTGAGGGTTCACAAAGATAAGAGCCACTGTTTCGACTGAACACACATCAGCAAAGCTGACATCAGAGTGATCTTAAGTATCAGTTTAATCTACTTTGGTTTTAGGGTGGACTGTCAAGGCTTCTCAGGTTCTGTTATAACTAAGTTTCCCAGGTACATGTAAAAATAAGGAAAAATTTGCTGACTGGAGGATGCAGGTTAGAAGTTACTCATTATGTTCTTGATCCAGGGAATGTAGTTTATGACTTTTGTGTAGACCCCATATTGGTCTGGCTCCCCACAGTTAATGGAGCCCCAGGAAACTATTCCTCCCACAAACCATTGCTGTGTTTCATTATCTAGAAACACTAGTGCCCCTCCACTATCGCCCCTGCAGCTGTCCTTGCCACCAGCGTCTAAGCCAGCACAAAGCATGTTAGCAGTTACTCTTGCTCCTGAGTGGGGATGCTTTTCATATGCAGCGGTACATTTTTGATGGTCAACAATTGGTATGTCTACAAACATTAGGTTTCTAGCAGAAAACCCCCTCTGGGTTAGCCCCCAGCCAGCCACAGTTCCAGTGTCACCTGTCTTCATTAAGGATGCGGCAGCTTTACTTGGCAGGCAGGCAGGCATGATGTTTCTATTGATTGTGACTTTGTTCTTGAGTTTAATCAGCGCTATATCGTTGTCAAAACCGGCACCATGAGTGTAACCTTCATGTATGAAAACAGCCTCAGGCCAGGCTTGAGTGTAATTAGGTGAGAGCCGTTTAAGGATGCCCATGCGAATGTCCAGGGAGGACTGTGCCTCAGTTTTCCCATATACGACATGAGCAGCTGTTAGGATCCAGTTGTCATGTACAAGTGCACCCGCTGCTGTCGTTTCACCCAGTAACAAGACTTGCCAAGGAAAGTCACCAAGCTTTGCAGGCTGCCCTCCGATGATCCGGCCTCTCAGAGTGTGTGTGCGCAGCCCACAGACTGAGGAAAGAACACAAAGTTAGATTTAGTGTCATCGAAAAGCTCTATCCCGGGAACTGGTAGAGGCAGGCATCCTCCCTGGTCAGATGAGACTGCTCTGATAGGTCCTTGTTTAGCTTGATTAGCTCCTTGTAAAGATCAGTAAGTGATTTCACACACTGAATTTTGCTAAAAGAAAACTAAGATGAGGGAACCTGTACACGGACAGACAGAAATCGTATGTGGGAAGACATGGTGCTGCATAGAATTCTGGTTATGATTTACGAAATGACTGTTGCCTTTATGTAAAAAAAACCTACTAAAACTTAAAATGAAGCAATAGCCAAGATGCTTCTGGGTCTAAAATTTGTTATTTTTTTGGTGTGGGTGACTCATCCAAACACTTTTAGCAGTGTTTATTGCAAACTAATTACTCAGGAATGCAACATGTTTTTTATTGCGGTCGTGCACTTTGATTAAAACTTAAAAGCAGCATGTCAGCCAAATACAGGGCTAGAAAACTAATTTAAGCCAGCTAACATGGGTAATGATTGTATTATTACCTTTCAATTAAAAAAAAAAACATTCTGAACTATTGTTGGAGCCCATTCTGGTAAAAAAAAAAAAAATTAAGTACTATTAAAAGGCAAATTGCATTAATGTTTAAAAATCTAGATGCCGTTGAAAACAATTGCTTAGGGAAATAATGAAGTTATTAGCTGTGGGGTTTAATAGCATTTTTACAGAGAGCAAAAGTAACTCAACAAGAGTTCATGTTTATAAATGTATAAATGGTTTGAGCTAATTTAAGGAATGGTTTAATTTTTGATGCTTGCCTAGTTAGAAGGTCACAAATAATCAAGTGTGTGGTGCAGTCCGCACCTAACTGTGGGAGAGGGTAGCGAGAGCGCTCTTGGGAAGCACCACACCAGCCTGAGCCAACTGCTGGGCTTCAGTTCTGCCTCCCCAGCTAGACTCTGCTATTGTCTGCCACCCATTCTCTGTCCGCTGTGAATCTCTTTCATAAATGTGTCCATTACCAGGCTCACAAACTGGGAGGGATTTTTCTCCCTTGGAGCTCGTCCAGAATCCATCAGCCTCACACACATATTTACCTGCAAATCATTGGAAAAGCAAAAATGTTTAACTGTAGTTGTCATTTGCTTGAATAACCCCTTGAAAAATGTTGATTCTTGAGTATCCGTGGTGGGGAGAGGTGTGTGAATAACCATTTTACATGATTTCATAAATAGGTATCTGCATTACCATGTTTGCTTGCAAAGTGGAAACCTTTTAGATGTGTAACTTGAATATGTATCAAGATCTCAAGTGCTTAATGATAAGGTTTTGACTTGTTAAATTAAACCATTTGGAATATATTGTGTGTTTGTAGTAGTCATTTACTGGATATGATCTGTTTTCCGATTCCTGCAAATTGACATTAAAGTCATTTTAACTGTAATATTTCATTTAGCGTATGGGAGAAGGGCCTTTTTAATCCTTTGTCTCCGTTCACCTAAAAGGCTGGTTCAAGCTTATATTCAATTTTAAGGGCTTAACTTCCAAATACCACCCAGCCCACCTCTAAGAACGTACTTACCATCACCATGCATTGTGTAGAAAGTCTCTTCGCAGCTGTACTGAATCGCAGCTTTGTAGGTAGTCACCTCAGGGCCTGTGACATATTCCGTGTGGCCGTTGGGTAGGTCATCTGGAGGGCCACAGTCGATAACTGGGAAAGGGAAGCAGAAGGCCCTCTGTACCTGGAGCTGGCACTGAAGAGTCTGCGCACTGTAGTGTGGTGGCTGTGCACGCTCCAGTCCGGGTGCATCGCTGAATTTGAGGTCAGCCTGCTGTGCAGAGGCCTGCTAGGGCTGGCGGGACTTGGGCTGGCCTCGTTCCCATCTACATGGTGCATGGCACTCATGCCACCTCTGAAAGTGGCAAGACTTAACTCAAGGCTTGGTGAAGAAACATCATTCCTGCTTTTTATTTGAAGGAACTCTGGAGAGGAGTAATTCTAGAGAATTCAGAAGCACTTACGAGTTGGGTAGCTCTCACAAAAATGGTCTGTAGGAGAACTCGGAAGAAAAGCCCCTGCTCTTGGTGTAAAGACTTGTTCCTGGTCCTTTTCACAGCTTGAGCTTTGTAGAAACCCTGAGGTGGGTGTTCGGGGTTTTATTGGTGGTTTTTGGAGTCTATAATCCTGGCTGTCTGCATTTCTGTGGCGGCTACTCTGCTGTGCCACAGCTGAAACAGCACCTGATGTGTCCACACCTGCAAACCCAGCTGAGCACTGTTCACTGAAAGACTTAGTAAATTTGTAAGACCAATCTCTTGGAGTTTGTTTTACTGTACTGCATAATCCATGTCCACAGCCAAAGATGTGTGCTGGCACATGCTAGGAAGAAGGGCTCATGAATGCCAGGCCAGTGAGGCCCTGCTGCCAAGCAGTAGTCTTTTGATTGGTTGAATTTTTTAGTTTCTGGTTTCAAGTATGTGGAAGGAGCACTAACAGTATGCGGATCTTGAGAGGTTTCTTTTCAGAATGCTAATGTGTTTGCCGTTGATGCTGTGCGCGTGGCAGGTAGGCGTGGACACCTACATGTGTAGCGCAGGACCTCCTGCACTGGCACGTGTGCTCAGGGTTAGAGGCTCACAGCTGGAGAGAGCTGTGCAGCCCCGTGTTTCCTGTGCGGTGATGGGAATTAAAGATGCTCACATTTCCCTATGTATGTTTGTAAGGAGCATCCATTTTCTACTTAGGAATTGTTTCAGCGCGTACTGCCTTTCCCCGTTACTTTGGTTCCTCTTGGTCCAGAGACTGGAGTAGAAGTAAATCTGGAACTTGCACCTTAATAAGTGAGTTCATTTTGCAGGGACCGTGGGAATGACTACAGAAGTCATAGGAGTGATGATAGGTGGCCTGGGGAGATTGCTCAATAGGAAAGTGCTTGCAGCATCAGCATAGGTACCTGAGTTCAGGTTCCCAGCAACCATGTAAAGACCAGACATGGCAATGTGCCTCTTAACTGAGTTCCCTGGGGCTGGTAGAACAGAATGTTTGGCACCCTCTAACCCAGGGCTTCTCAACTCCTTTGAGGGTTGCCTATGACCCATGAAAAATGTTTACAATTCATAACAGTACAAAACTACAGTTACAAAGTAGCAATAAAAAATTTGTGGTTGGGGTCGCTACATCATAAACTGTGTTAAAGCTCACAGCATGAAGAAAGTTGAGAACCACTGTTCTTTGTGTGCACATGAAGGGACAACACAATGCTGGTCAGCAGCAGGGGAAGGGGTGTGGCCATACGACCGTACTGATGCACTGTGGTATCTGCTGGTCCCAAGATCCATCTTTCTGACAGACGGCAGTGAACGATTCCAGGGGGACAGAGCCCTGAAGAGGAAATTCAGAAACTGAGCTCGCTGTTAGCATCAGGCCACTCCCCAGACCAGCGCTCCCGAGTCAGGGCAGTAGCCATGGAAAGCCTGCACTTGGCACTCGGACCGTGCAAGGCCCAGCTGCCTTGCTTCGTGTTGTGTTGTCAGTAGCTCTGCAGTCTATACATAGCTCCGCTGCAGTTCCTACCACATACTGCTTTCCTAGACGTCAGGAACACATCAGGCTAAAAGTTGTTAAGTGCTTGCTTTCTCTGGCTTTCTCTTTCCCTTCCACCATTTATTTTGATGAACCCCTGCTGTCCTGGATCTCAAGGCTGGCTTCTGAACTCACAAGTGTCCACTTGCCTCTGTCTCCTGAGTGCTGGGATTAAAAGCCTATACCATCACCTGCCATTTAATTTTTTTTTTTTTGAGATTTATTTTATGGGTTTGAGTGTTTTGCCTGTATACTGGTGTATCACATGTGTGCCTGGTGTCTGAGAGGTCAGAAGGCAGCCTTGAATCCCCTGAAACTGGTGTTCGGGCAGCTGTGAGCTACCATTTAGGCTCTGGGAACAACTCCAGTCCTCTGCCAGAATAACAAGTATGTTTAACCACTTAGTCATCTCTCCACCCTGTTTTCAGACAAAGTGCCAGGTGGGACCAGTGAGCTACCTTCACAGGTGTGGTAAGTAGTTGGCTGCTAAGCCTCATAACCTTGATTGGATACCTGGAACCTACATGGCAAAAAGAACTGTCAGGACCTCCATACGCTGTGTGGCCACAGGTGCACACAAATGTACTTTTTTCAAAGGTGCCAAAAGGAACCCAGCATGTTGCCAGTGCCAAGGAGCCCAACACTCGAGGCAGAGGCAGGTGGATCTCTTGAGTTCAAAGCCAGCCTGGTAGACAGCAAGTTCTACGACAGTCAAATGCTACACAGAAACCCTGTCTCAACACCCCCCCCCCCAAAAAAAAAGTGCCAATGTTTGAGAAAAACTGCCAAGACCAGTCACGAAAGTCAAACAGTAAGTCAAGGGTGGTGGTACACATTTTTAATTAAAGGTGTGGTTCTCTGTGGGTTTGAGGCCAGCCTGCTCTACATAGGCCAGAGAAAGAGGGTGCCATTTGCAAAAGCTATAATGTTTCCATTTATATATTTCTTTTCAGTTAAATGATAAACATGGGGCATATAAAAGGTTTTACTAACATCCACAAAGTCCTAGGTTTGATCAAAGCACCAGAACCTGGGTATGATGGACCAATCCCAGCACTTGGGGAGCAGGAGAATCAGTTCAGCATTAGCCTCACCTATACAGGAAGCTCAAGAGCCAACAAGTTTGTGCTCTCACAGTCCAAGGAGCAGTAGAAAAGAACCTGAACAGTAGATTTGCAAGGAGAGACTCCCTTATTTGACCCTCCATGGACTGGACTCCATCCCTAGCTGTCATTCCAGGGTTATTGCTTTATACCACTGGGATTTGCTGACAATTTTGAAGAACACAAAGAGGATGAGTTAATCTCTTACCTGTGCCCCTGAAGCAGCATGCTAAGCAGTTTTTAAAATTATATTCCCTCTCCCTTAACAGTGCACACTATTTATAACTTTGCAGAATGTACTCTTTCCAGAACTGTCTGATCTTTGAGGGCTGAGAGGCTACCATGGGAAGGTTGTCAGCTGATCAGGAAAGACTTAATTTAGCACAAGCTCTGCAGACCTTATGGACAAGGTGCGCACACTCCCTCCTTTCTGTTGTTTCAGCCACTTTGCAGAGGGCTGCTGCAGTGTACAGATGAGCAAGGTTTTTTAATGCCTACCTTTCTAAAAAGCACTTAGAACAGACAGGGGTGTGGGGTGTGCAAGGTAGGTGATAGAGAGCACACTTAGTGTGTCTGAGTTCAGTCCTCTGCACTAAAAGACCTTTCAGCTGGGTGTCAGCATGTACACCTATAATCCTAGCGTTGGAAGTCATGAAGGCCAGCCTGGGCTACAACTTCAGCCACTGTCTCTAATAAAGCGACAGCTGGATGTGGCAGTGCGCACCTTTAATCCAGCAGTCAGATCTGAGTTTTGAGCCTACCTTGGTATGCAGAGGAAGTCCCATGAGAGCCAGGGTTACACTGAGAAACCCTAACTCAAAAAAACAATAACGGCTGGGCACCGCGGTACATGCCTGTAATCCCAGTGCTCTGGGAGGCAGAAGCAGGTGGATCTCTGAGTTCGAGGTCAGCCTAGTCTATAAAGTGAGTCCAAGATAGCCAAGGGTACACAGAGAAACCCTGTCTAGAAAAAAACAGAAAAAAAAAAACCCTAATTTTAAAAGGCAGAACTGCATATGGATATGCTAATCATCCCAACACTTGTGAGGCTGAGGCAGGAGGATTTTTAACTTGAGACCAGCCTGGACTACATAGCAAAACAAAAATGAAAGGCAGGAATTTCCCCCAGTTATTTTCTCCATAGCCATTCCTCTTTGTTTGCTGCAAACTTTTTTTTTTCTTTTCTGCCTAGGGACTTCCCATTTTCATCTCTAATCTCAAAGCCATCATGATTATAGGCACTTAGTTTTTTAGTAACTCACTTGAAGAAGTTCGAAGCCAGTCTCACAGAAGACAGAAAAGCTGTCCTTCAGGACGTACTTGGCTTGCACTGGTAAAATGTGTCCATTAGGTGGCGCCATTGGATCAGGGCAAGGCTGTGCTGTGCAGAGGAAAAGGGCTTATTTTTGAAATCTGTAAGAGCCAGGTCTGAATTTAGCAATCTGCATTCTTGGTTTATAAATGAAACAACAGGCAGAGAGAGCCTACTTCACATATGGTGGTGGTCCTAACACTTAACACCAAAGGCAAAAAAGCAAGCTGAGTCAATTGTACAAATTAAGACTTGTTCGTTTGACCATGACTCACCTTACAGGTAGGAAAGCCAGATACGGGCCTGGAGAGAATGGTCCGGCAGTAAAGAACACTGCTTTCTAGAGGACTCCCGTTTGAGTGCAGCACCCATATCAGGTGGCTGACAAGCCCATGTAACCCAGCTACATGGAGGACATGTAACCTGTCCTCCATGGGCATCTGCATACGTGCCATACAGATGATTTTTGTTTTAACTCACTCTATAGACCAGGCTGGCCTCAAACTCGCAGAAGTGCGTCTGCTTCTGTCTGCTAACTGCTAGGGTTCAAGGCGTGCACCCACTGCACTTTTTCTTTTTTTTTTAAAGGTGGTGCACATACCAGGGCTGTTTCCCAGAGAAACCCTGTCTTGAACGCCCCCCCCCCCCCAAAAAAAAAAAACAGATATGCAAAAATGATGGAGTTGCCTGTGCCAGGAGGATGGCACATGTGGTTTAAAGCCAGAGTGTCCCTTTTAGGGACAGACCAAGACAAAATGACAATGTTAGGTGTGGTCTTCTGGAGTCTCAGTGCTTGGCTCAGAGGCTGTGCTACAGGGGTTTGACTTTTTCCCATTGGATTGTGGGCGGAGACTATGGGACTCTGGCCTCTGCCTTTAGTATCCTTGGCACACATCTTTGGGATTTTTGACCAATCACCAATACTGATGATTGAACACGGCTTTGTGCATGCTACGCAGGCGCTCTGCCGCTGGGCTGCATCTTCACCCTTCTTAGGACATATCTATAGGAAATAAAGATGGGTGGGTAAAAATATCTAGGAAGTGAAATGGGTAGGTGAGAGGGTGGATGAATAGACAGATGTCCGAGTAGGTGGTGGTGAGAGAGAATACAGGAGGAGGCATGGACCTCTAATCCTAGGACTTGGACTGAGGCAGGAAGATCAAAGTTTAAGGCCCGCTAGTGCTATAACAAGTTTGAGACCTCTGACCTATAGACTTGGACCCTATCTCAAAATTCCAGAATTGAAAAGGTTGCTTAGGTAAATGGCTGGACAGGAAGAGGAAGGGAAGGCTGTTACTACTTCCCTATCAAGGACCATCATTTGACAGACCACCTCACTCAGTCTGGGCTCCCTTCCTAGGCCTGCCAGGAAAGAGTCCAGTGCTGTGTACTTTGTTGACTCTTCATAACATAGAGAAACTGTTTCCTTTGCTGCCTGGACCAGAGTCTACTTGCTCACCTGTGCTCCTGTAGCGAATCTTCCAGCCTGTGTGGTCCCCTGACTCATCAGTGGCAAAGGTGATGGTCACGCTGTTACTGTGTGTTTCGATCCTACGGGGCAGCGTCTTCCCACAAAATGGACCATATTCCCCCTTGTCTGTTTGAATCTGAACAAAGAGACTCTTTAACCCCCAGGACCTGGGCAGGGTTCTAGTGTGTGTTAGAAGGAAGCACACCAGCTCAAACTGGCTGGGACAGGCTGGGGTCAAAAGGTGGGTATGCTATCCCTCATGCTGAAGCCATAACCTGGTTTAGACCCCCCAGAGAGAGGCTGATGAGGTTCGTTGGAGGACAGACATAGGCAGCAGTACTGAAAGATATGGGGGATGGTGAGGGGGAAGAGCTGTGGCAAAGTAAGGATGCAAGAACCAGACCTTGAGGGAGTCGTAGGGGCACTGGGCTTCGGGGTGCGTCTCCACATCAAAGGACTGCACAAAGTCCAGGATGACACTGAAGCCTTCCTCCAGGCGGATGCTGTAGGTACAGCTGGAGAGTTTGGGGTACGGCTGTGGGAACTCGGGGCTACTGAGCTCCCCGGACCTCTCAGTGAACACCTGTCCTGAACACTGGGCTAGGAAGGAAAGAGGACAGGATAGCATGGCTCTGCTCCTTGGGGGACAACACTTGAGGGTAGGGAAATACCTGGGACATCTGTGTCCTGAGTTTGGCCAAGGCCCTGTACTTGACTATCTGCAGAGGCAGGAGAGGACCCAAACTCCCACCCCAAATGATGCTGAGAGACCGGAAGAGGCCTCTGTTGCTCCCAGGCTTTAACTGAAGCAAAGTAGCATCAGGGATAGTTTACCAGGGCACAAGCTCCTATGACAGGGTCAGAGTCACAGCGAAAAAGAGGAAAGGAAAGGAGGCCAGAGGGAAGTGAGGCGTGAAGTGAAGCAGGCCACCTCCCCAAGGTCCCTAGGAATTGAGGGAAAGGAAGGAGACCCCTTGAACTGAGTGCTGCTTTCCTCCTCTCAAATCACCCCAATGCCCACCTCAGCAGTTCCCAAGTGAGTCCACAAGGGGGCTCCCACCCATGTCTGGCAGGGACCAACCCAGAGCTCTTGATCCTGGGGACCAGGCTGAAAAGGCCTTTCCCAGGCCTTCCCTGTTCTTAGAAGTGGCCCTGGGGACAGTTGAGGGAAGCTTAGGACACCAGTATGCACACAGTCTTGTCTTTCTCAGGCTGCCAAGAAGCCCTGTAGGTAGAGATCAAGCTCCATCTCTTAGGGAGGTTCTGTTCCCTGCCTGTCTGCTCTGGGTGGGGACAAGAAGGCTTGTAGGAACTGAAGACTTTCTGTACTGCCCTCCTTCCGTGAGGCTGTTCCCAGTGGTAGAGAGGACACCCCTGGAGGCAGGATCCCTCAGCGAACCTTCCTTTGGACTCTGTTCTGAATTATGCTCCCCCAGATCAGGGACCAAAGACCCGCATTGTCCTATAAACAAGAACTGGCTAAAGATGTCCTGAGCTCAGGCTAACCCCTGTCCCCGCAGTTTCCATCTACAAAACAAAGGGCTAAAACAAGCCCTTTCAAAGTGCCTACAGCCTGGCCTGGAAGGGGTTCTCACATCAGGGCTGTGAGGCAAGGAGGAGAATTAAGATGAAGAGACCCGGCTGGAGGTGGTGGCACACACCGGTGATCCCAGCACCCAGGGAGGCAGAGGCAGGCGGATCGCTGTGAGTCTGAGGCCAGCCTGGCCTACAAGTGAGTCCAGGACAGCCAAGGCTACGCAGAAACCCAGTCTCAAAAAAATAAACATAAAAAGATGAAGGAACCCAGGTTGCTCTGTTGCCCTTAACTCTTCCCCCACAAGAGACACACAGCCACAATGGAGATGGAGGCAGGTTTATTACTGTTGTGGGTAAGGGTGCTGTCGCTGGCAGCCACTCCAGCCTGACAGCACCGCAGGCAGTGTGTGGCTGTGCACTGTCGTCTGACCCACTGAGAGAGCAGGCTGGAACTGAGGGAGGTTACAGGCTCTGCTCTGGAAGAGAGATGGGGAGTGATCAAAAAGACTGAGTGAAACAGGGCAAAGGATCAAGAGACAGGGTAGAGGAGGCTAAAAGTGTTGAGCTGCTGGCTGCCATCAGGAGCAGTGTCTTTGAGCCTGTCTGCACCCCTCTACCCTGAGGTTCTGTGGTAGATGGGAAGCTTAAGGTGTGCCAGGCTGAACCACCCAGGAGGAAGGGGTAATTGGCTGGTGGAACTGGGGGTTTCCAGAGCGGGAGCAGAGAATGAGAGCACACCACCAGAGGTAGGTGAGGAGTTAGGCTTGCTAAAAGCATTGGAACAGAAAGGCCCAGCCTTTAGCGCAAAACAGCTCCTACCTTGGGAGCTGGAGCAACAGGGTGGAGATGCGGAGCCCCTCCCCCTCACCTGAGCAGGTGCGTTTGTTCTGGTGGAGAACATAGCCCACTCGGCAAGAGCAGTAGTAGCCACCCAGGTAGTTGTGGCAAAAATGGTCACAAGGGACTGAGTCTCCCAGGCTCACTTGGCATTCATCCACATCTAGGGGAGGAGAGGGCCAGGATAGAATAGAGAGCTCAGGTCTTGGTGGCCCACTGGAGGGGAGGCCTGCTGCTTAGCAATTCACAGGCCTAGGGTCAGAGCTGCAAATAGCACCCTAAGGCAGTGGCAGGTTAAGAGTCCTGTTCAAAGCCACCCAGGCCGTGGGGGGAAATAGCCACTATCAACCCAGTGGCGTCAACCTGATCAGTGCTCTGCAGCATTATTACGGCATCAGCAGTTGCCAGGGTCTGTTTCATTGCATTCACATGGTGGATGACGGCAGGCCATGGCAGGCACGTTCCTGCTGGTTTGACCTGAATCCAGAGCCCCAGGAGAGGTGGGAGGCAAGAGACCCAAAGATGGGGACAAGGCTAAGACAAGACAGTCCCCTAGCTGCAGCCAGGTCGCCTGGGCCAACCACTGCTCACCCTCCGCTGCGTAGAACGCCTCAAACCCTGTGAAGGGCTTCTCATTGGAGTAGTCGGAGTGGAAGGTGACCTCCAGGTTGGGACCCAGTGAGTAGAAGGTGTCGTTGCCAGGTGCCTGCTCAGTATCTGTGCTCTCCTGCCCACACAGTGTGGCTAGTACCTTGGTCCCTGAGCTCAACTGTGGGGTGAGGGGAGGGAAGGTTAAAACCAGGCCCGCCCTCCCTTCTGGCCAGACCTTGCCATACCCTACAAGGGGGGACCCCTGACCAAGCACCCTGTCAGGTACCTTGACAAAGTCATACTCGCAGCGGTAAGAGAGCTCCAGGTTGAAGTGGGTGAAGTAGAGGCGCAGGCGGTAGCCGGGGGGTGCAGTCAGTGTCCAGGACCGATCCTGATTGTTGCCATACTGCCCTGGGAAACCAGGGGACGCCAAGCGCCCAAATACAGGCTCAGGCCACTTTGAGCTCAAAGGTGAGGCCACCACACTCCAGAGCAGGCCCAGGAAGATCAGCAGCCTGTGGGCAGGAGAGGGACATGAGGGCCCAGGCCTAATCCCCGTTCCCCCAGAGGCCATGGGTCGCTCACCCACCTCATGGCGTGCCATCCAGCTTTGCAGGCCCAGTTCCACTCACCTTTGGTCTGTTTGTCCAGGACCTGGCCCTACCCCCAGTCTCCCAAACCCAAGGATTCTGGGAATCCATCCATGGCTCCTGCCTGCCTTACTTCCAGGCAGGAAGGTTTGGTGGTTCTGGGAGCCAGAAACTTGACCTGGGCCATAGCCTTAACTCAACCTTCACCCACCCACCAAGAAGGTCTGGAGTCTCTATGACAATGCGGACAGCCTAGGACAGACAGACACAGATACACACACACAAACACACACACACACACACACCCTCCCCAACTCAGGGAGAAGCAGAAAAATTTAAGAAAGCACATTAACCTAAGAGGAAATGGGACATGGAGCAGAAAACAAGACACTGCTACACTTGGGAGCATGAATGCTGGGTGGCAGGTGGAAGGAGGGTCTTGTGGCGATTTCTGAGTCTGAAGCAGAATCAGGAAACTGGAGCTCCTGGTACCAGTGCTGGTTTAGAGGTAACTTTACTCATTTGAAGACAGGGTCTCACTATTTAGGCCTGACTGGCTTTGAACTGTGTTGCTCAAGCTTGCCTCAAACTTGTTGCAATTCTCCTGCCTCTGGCATGCTGTGGGGAGGGAACTTTATCCCAGCAATTATATAAGTAAAAATTGAGAAATGGGGAGGCTTGGCCTATAGAAAAAAGAAAGGGGTTTTGATTAGACTGTTGGAGGGGCTGGTTTTCATTACTCATGAAGATAGTGATTTTTTAGATTTGTGTGTGTGTGTGTCTGAGTGCTGAGCCATGTATATTCAAGTGCTTTTGGAGGCCAGAAGAGAGCACTGGATTCCCTGAAATTGGAGTTACAGGAACTGGGTACTGGATATTGAACTTGAGTCCAGCAAGTGTTCTTAACTGCTGAATCATCTCTCCAGCCCCAAGGATGGCTTTTTAAAGAAATCTTGGGCATTGGTGGCACACAACTTTAATCAGAGGCAACACTCAGAGGCAAGCAGATAGATCTCTGAATTCAGGGCCAGCCTGGTCTACAGACAAGTCCCAGGTTAGCCAGGGCTAACAGAGAGACCTTGTCTCAGAATGAATGAACAAATGAACAAACAAACAAAATCTCCTTTTCATTATAGCAACATTGGTAAGGTCAGAACTTGCGCAGTTAGCCTCAGCTACCAATCCTCAAATAGGCCACTTAACAGTGAAAGGCAGAGAGTGGAGATTTACTCAGTGTGGCCACACCGGGAAGAACAAAGGTCTATCTGTCGGGTCCTGGCCTGAGGTTTAGGTCTAATTGGAGGTTGAGAGCGTGGACAGCTAAGCGGGACTGCTCAATGAGGCCCTCCTCCTCTCCATCTCGGCTGCCGATCACTGTCGTGGCTGCTAGGTGATCTGAAGTTGTCACACTGTGTGAAATGTATTCCTGGTAGACAAGTTCCTCCCTGTCAGCATACTTTTTAAAAACTTATTTACATTTCTTATCTTTTTTCCCTGCTCCACCCCCATCTCTTCCAACACCCCCACACCAGGTAGGAGAGAGACAGGATTGGTGAGTGCAGGCTCAGCTCTCTTAGCGGCTTCCTGCTGGTTAGGGTCATGGGGTTCTTTGGAGCCAGTCCAATCCTCGTTTCAGGAGCCCTCAAACTTCTTGGCTCACAACAGCAACCAAGAGCAGCAAGGAGGAAGCAGGAGCAGCCTTGTTCTTTCTTGGAGCTCCCTCAACACTCTCTGGGCTCTGGCATTTATTCCCTCACCAGAGTCTTCAGAATTAAACTGTCTGCAGCTGGCAAAGAGCTCCTCCAAGGCTGCACCAGGCAAAAAGTCTGCTGCCGTGGACCCTCTGAATCAATCCCACACCCCACACCTGGGGTTAAAACAAAAACACATTCACACCAGCAACACCTCCAGAGGCAGGTGCTCAGGCCTTTGTCCTCCCCCAGCACAAGCTGTCAAAACAAGAGCACAGCGTGCCTTCAGGATAGCTTCCGTCCTCTGGAGAAGGTTATGTTAGATCTTCCCATGTAAGCCACGGCTGCTAGGCCAGTCCATCCTCAGGGACCTGCTGACATTACCTTGCTCTTGGTGGGTCTCCGTCTCCTCCTCGTGACAAGGAGCTGGGGAGACGGGGGACCTGCATGCTTTCTGCATTGTTGTCGACGTGCATTTCATGGAGAGAGGAAGGAGACTCGCAGGGGGTAACTAGTGTGGAGGGGCGGGCACAGGAAGCCATTTTATCTTGTACCCAGGCCATTGGTACGGAAGTTGCTCTTACTAAAACTCCTTCCCAATGCGGAGACTAAACAAAGTCTAGACCTCTTCCTTCTCCTAAGGTCCCAAGGACAAGATCCCAACAAAGTTCACTTGGGGAACTAATTGAACTCCTAGGAGAGGGTTACTTACAGGGCGTGAGCGCTCCTTCCCCTCCTCTTCCCCAGGCCATGTACTCTAGCCCCTCCCCAAGGCTAGGCGCCCTTAAGGCAGAATTGCAGAGAGTGGGCGGAAGAGACACTCCCGTCCCTCCATGTGGGAGGGGTAAGCAGGTAACAAGGCCAGCTGGGATCCCCATTTTGCCAGGGTGCGCAGCTGAACGCTCCAAAATGGCAGTTGGATAACCGCTGTCTCAGGTCGTGAGAAACTGAGTCAGGCTGTACGAGGCAATAGGCCTCAGCCTGACCATTCTGCCGCTCCTACAGAAACAATATGCTCAGGTATTGAAAACAATCCGCCCCGTCAAACCACAGAATAGTTAGAACCCGGCAGCTGCGCCACCTATGTAGGCGTGCGCATGCTCCTGCCCCCAGCCTCTCTGAGCGCACTCTGCCGAAGCCCCTCGCTGTTCCAACAGCGCCGTCTTAGCCTGATGAGATCCCGTCTGCCTGCCTCAGTTTCCCACAGCAACTCCAGAGGCCTCCTGCAATTAAGGCAGAATTGCACACAGCAGGTGAAAGGGAGTGGCTGGACACCCAGGTGAGTGTCTTGTGACCCTCCCCACCCTTCCGTGGGGGTGGGGGGTGGGGTGGCTAACAATCCTTTCACAAGAAGCGCAGCCGAATGCCCCCAAATGGCATGGTACGTGCTTGGCTCAGGAGGACAGTCCCACACTACAGTAGCCCTTGCTCAAGTAAGTAACTTGCCACACATGCTCGTGCAAGCAGCCTTAATTAAATGCAGTAGCACCGGGGCACACAGACCCCACAAGACTGGCAAGTAGAGGGGAAACTGTTGTGCCCGAATCTGGATACCCCAAAAGACCACCACCAGGAGTCAAGTCCATTGTAAACCACATGAGGATCTTTTTATTACAAATTAGAAGCTGCAGCTTGGGCCCATACCCCCCACCGCCGAAGTGGTGAGAGCCGTGTGCTCAGGTTAGTTGGGTGATTTAAAGATTGTGGTCCCTCCCAGCACGCCCAAGGCAGGGGCGATTCCTGCCTGGCAAGCATCTATTGGTCAACATGCTGTTTTGAAATGATTGGCTATAGGAAGGTCCCCAAACCATTAAGGATCTGTTGTCCTTCCTTAGGGGGATGGGCCAGTTTCCTAGCAACATTATCTCTAGTGGGGGTGGGGGAAAAGAATGCTGTAGGCCGGGTTCTTCCCCTCAGGGCATTACTGGACCTCACCCAGCTAGTTCAGGCCTTAAACTTTAATAATAATGGCTGATTTTTAATCTTTTGATCTCAGAACAAGTTGAGAAGAAGGGGTCTGTGATGGGGACAGAGGATGCTAGATGGATTTGGTCAAGTATGAAGCTGTGAAAGAAGAAAAAAATTATCTAAAGTAGGGGGTGTGGAGAAGTGGCTCAGCAGTGAAGAGAACTGTCTGCTCTTGCAGAGGACCCAGGTTCCATTCCCAGCACCCACATATTTCCACATCTGACACCCTCTTCCGGCACATGGTGCCCAGACAAGTACACAGGCAAAACATTCATACACATAAATAAAACTTTAAAAAATTAAGAAGTAAACTTGGCAAATAAAATAAAATAAAAAAGACCATTCCATTTCTCCCCTCCACCCCAGCAGAGACATTGTTCTTGGTTCTTGGAGAAAGGAGTAAAAGCACATCGCCATCAAGAGCTCTGCCTACCAAGGGGGCCATGCAGGTCTCTGTTTTCTGTGCTGGGGAATGAACTCCCTCATGCTAACTATATACCCAACTCCATAGAGCCACGCCCACCATCCGAAAGCAGACTTTTCATTTTTCCAGGAGGCATCGTCTCTTTTCCTCGCTCTCCCACTCCTCATTCTCCTTTTGGTTTTCTTCTTCCGGCTCCTAAACATGGGATTTGTGTGTTTTGGTGTTTGGAGACAGGGTTTCTCTGTGTAGCCCTGGCTGTCCTGGAACTCTCTTTGTAGACCAGGTTGGGTTTGAATTCACAGAGATTCACCTGCCGTCTGCCTCCTCGAGTGCTAGGATTAAAGGCGTACACCTCCACTTCCTGGCTCCACTGAGTCATTTGTTTATTTACTTACTTAGGTTTTGGTTTTTAGAGACAGGGTTTCTCTGTATGTAGCCTTGGCTATCCCGGACTTGGACTTGCTTTGTAGACAAGGCTAGTCTCAAACTCACAGTGATCTGCCTGTCTCTGCTTTCCTGAGTGCTGGGATCCGCTGAATCATTTAGAACACCTTCGTTTTTAACATTTGTGTGGGTATACGTGCACAAGTATGAAAGTCAGAAGCTAGCTTCCCAGAATTGGTTCTCTCCTACCGCATAGATCTCAGGACTGAATTCAGTTGGTCATACTTAGTGGCAAGCACATTACCCACTGAGCCACCTTGCTGAGCCTTTAAAGACTTTTTTATTTTATTTTATTTTATTTTATTTTATTTTATTTTATTTTATTTTATTTTTAGTGTTTGCCTGAATGTGTGTGTATCATGTGCATGTCTGGTGCCTGTGGACCCAGAAGAGGGCATCAGATCTTCTGGAACTGGTGTTACAGATGGTTCTGAACCACCATGTAGGTGTTGTGAACTAAACCTACGTCTTTTGCAAGAGCATCCAGTGCGCCTCAACACTGGAC